AACACAGGACTACTGATGGAGCAATGATAACACAGGACTACTGTTGGAGCAATGATAACACAAGACTACTGTTGGAGCAATGGTAACACAGGACTAATGATGGAGCAATGGTAACACAGGACTACTGATGGAGCAATGATAACACAGGACTACTGATGGAGCTACTACTTGGAGCAATGATAACACAGGACTACTGATGGAGACTACTGATGGAGCAATGGTAACACAAGACTACTAACACAGGCAATGGAGCAATGGTAACACAGGACTAATGATGGAGCAATGGTAACACAGGACTACTGATGGAGCAATGATAACACAGGACTACTGTTGGAGCAATGGTAACACAGGACTACTGATGGAGCAATGATAACACAGGACTACTGATGGAGCAATGGTAACACAGGACTACAGATAGAGCAATGATAACACAGGACTACTGATGGAGCAATGGTAACACAGGACTACTGATGGAGCAATGATAACACAGGACTACTGATGGAGCAATGGTAACACAAGACTACTGATGGAGCAATGGTAACACAGGACTACTGATGGAGCGATGGTAACACAGGACTACTGATGGAGCAATGGTAACACAGGACTACAGATAGAGCAATGATAACACAGGACTACTGATGGAGCAATGGTAACACAAGACTACTGATGGAGCAATGGTAACACAGGACTACTGATGGACCAATGATAACACAGGACTAATGATGGAGCAATGGTAACACAGGACTAATGATGGAGCAATGGTAACACAGGACTGCTGATGGAGCAATGGTAACACAGGACTACTGATGGAGCAATGATAACACAGGACTACTGATGGAGCAATGGTAACACAGGACTACGGATGGAGCAATGGTAACACAGGACTACGGATGGAGCAATGGTAACAAGACTACTACAAGATGGTATAAGATTAATATTTGTTGTGTATCAGCATTGTTCATATCAGCTATAAATTTATTAATTGCTGGTCTGTTTGGGCAATTTGTATCAGTGTACAAACTGAATAATTACTTGTTTTAATAATAATCAATATATCATCAATCATGGTTTTGTTTATTCTTGCTTGTTGTTTTAATGCCACACTCACTCAGCAATATTCCAGCTATATGGATGCGGCTCCCGTTAGTTGCCTCTTATGACTAAGATCAAAATTAGTACTTTGACCATAAAATTAGTAGTCAACTGAATACTTAAAATCATAATGGATTCTGAGAAAGATAATATGACACTAATCAAGAGTGAAGCTTTAATTTCACATTTCACAACAGCAGATTTCCAAATTATCAGCATTACATTTCTTCTCTCTTTTTGATGAAAATGTCCTTAATTTAACATATGTTATATTTGGGATTACCCCGTCTTAGTAAAGTACAGATTCTTGTACTTTTGTTGGGCTGAGTCCCATCTGGAATTCGAACCCATGCCCTCAGAGTCAGGCACCTAATCACCAGCACACAAAGTCAGCCGCCTAACAGCTCAGGCGCCACACTGTGTAATCAATTATTTAATCATCGAAAATATATGTTTTTGTCTATACATCAAAATTTTCTTCTAATTACGTAGAATTTCTAGTGTAATTGTATTGGCGTGGTTTGAGGCTAAAATATGTAGTGACTACAATAAAATCATAAGAGGTTGGCATCTCTGAATTACCCAGGGCTTAATGAGGTAGAACTGCACTTCACATTTTATTACTATTCTTATTCTTAAAATCTACACAGAAGTGCATTCACAAGTGATGTTCCCACCTAAACTGATTTACAGAACAGTGGAAACATGGAGTGTTACTTGCATCACTGTTATCTCCCCTGTATCCATGACTACAAAATGTCTGACCATGCTAAATAATATTTACTTTGCATGTAGACAATAGAATCAGCATGTACATTCAGTTTCAATCTCGAGGTCAATTTAGCTCTCAATATTAAAGTGAGCATCACGCAAACTACAAATTTTAAGTGTCTACAATCAAAACAAATTTCATCAACAGAAACAATGTCATGTACCGGAAGATGACAATGTGTCAATCCCACCATTGTGGGAAGTGTGCTGACTGCCGAGTAAAACCGGTCTATATACACCGATGACACCATCACTAACACAACACATGACTTAACAACACATGGTAGCAGGGACACTGTCAGCTATGCTCTTGGTAGGGTAGAAGTTCTAGAACACATCATCTCCCCCACAGCACAACACACAACAAGTGTCAACAGCACACTGTTTGTCAGGGGCAGGTCCTTCACAGTACAACACACAAATGAGCACCTACACTGTTGGTAAGGCAGAACACTATCAGGTCCTTCACAGCACAACACACAAATGTCAACAGCAACTTGTGTCGGGGACTGCATCGTGAGCTACACTGTTTCTCAGGTAGAACAGTATCAGGTCCTTCAGAGCATAACACACAAATGTGAGCTACACTGCATTGGTACAAGGCAGAACACTATCAGGTCCTTCACAGCACAAGCACAACACGTGAGCTAAATGTCACTATCAGGTCCTTCACAGCAACTTGTCAACAGCACCTTGTGGGACTGCATCGTGAGCTACACTGTTTCTCAGGTAGAACAGTATCAGGTCCTTCAGAGCACTAACACACAAAGTGTCAACAGCAGCTTGTGTCGGGGACTGCATTGTGAGCTACACTGTTGGTAAGGCAGAACACTATCAGGTCCTTCACAGCACAACACACAAATGTCAACAGCAACTTGTGTCGCGGACAGCACAACACACAAATGTCAACAGCAACTTGTGTGGGGGACTGCATCGTGAGCTACACTGTTTCTCAGGTAGAACAGTATCAGGTCCTTCAGAGCATAACACACAAATGTCAACAGCAGCTTGTGTCGGGGACTGCATTGTGAGCTACACTGTTGGTAAGGCAGAACACTATCAGGTCCTTCACAGCACAACACACAAATGTCAACAGCAACTTGTGTCGCGGTCTGCATCGTGAACTACACTGTTTCTCAGGTAGAACAGTATCAGGTCCTTCAGAGCACAACACACACATGTCAACAGCACCTTGTGTCGGGGACTGCATCGTGAGCTACACTGTTTCTCAGGTAGAACAGTATCAGGTCCTTCACCATGCTCGATAATCTCCAGGGTTTACGTTACGATCACTCTCCACTATACCCTTGATGCATCCACGGCTTGGCCCGATGATTATATTACCTCTGCTGATATTTTATCCAATCAGGTGTCTATACTTGGAAGTTGAAAGAACCAATCACAACTCACTTTCGCTTCTTAAATTATCTAACCATTAAACTTGGCAACACAACTGATGCAGAGGTACTCTGAAAGAGGTAGAAGGAGTTCTTTTATATATTTTTTTAAAGTTTTAGATCTGTCAAGTTGTCTGTATGATTTCCCCAAAAATCTGAGTGGCGGTGCAAACAAACCCTCGCGACTGCGACCGCTATCTTTGTTGACACTGGCAAGCTCGGATGAAACGGCGGCTTGGCTGATTGGCTACTTTGAGAATGCGGAGCCAGTAAAGGGAGGTAATATAATTATCAGGCCAAGGCATGGATGCATACAGGGTATAGTGGAGAGTGATCGTAACGTAAACCCTGGAGTTAACGAGGATGGTCCTTCACAGCACAACACACAAATGTCAACAGCACCTTGTGTCGGTGACTGCATCGTGAGCTACACTGTTTCTCAGGTAGAACACTATCAGGTACTTCAGAGCACAACACACAATTGTCAACAGCACCTTGTGTCAGCTACTGTATCTTGAGCTACACTGTTTCTCAGGTAGAACACTATCAGGTCCTTCAGAGCACAACACACAATTGTCAACAGGAACTTGTGTCAGCTACTGTATCTTGAGCTACACTGTTGGTAAGGTAGAACAGTATCAGGTCCTTCAGAGCACAACACAATTGTCAACAGGAACTTGTGTCAGCTACTGTATCTTGAGCTACACTGTTGGTAAGGTAGAACACTATCAGGTCCTTCAGAGCACAACACACAATTGTCAACAGCAACTTGTGTCGGCTACTGCATCTTGAGCTATACCGTTGGTAAGGTAGAACAGTATCAGATCCTTCACAGCACAACACACAAGTGTCAACAGCACCTCGGTAAGGAAAGCCTTGTGCTTCCTCGTCATTACTGTTAAGTTTAAGTTGGGTTGACCAAGGACTCAGCTCAACATTCAAGTGCATGTTGATGTGAAAACCTATTTGCCCCAGACAAAAGAAGTATGCACCATGATCGAAACACAAATACACAAACTAGTGTCAATAAAGATATCTCAGACATCTGAAGACTGTGTCATGCAGTCCAACAAATCAATGACGTAATCCTGTCACAATAGCAACGTGCACATAACCTTGAAGTACCCACAGTTTGAAGTCAAGCCAAGGAAGCACAAACATTTACACGTAACACAGGGATGACTGATGCAGTATGATACATAAAACTTGTTGGTACAGAGTGTGCACAAAGACTTACAATTAACCTCACTTGAGTTTATCAAGAACTGATACGTTCATTATAGCAGGAACCTGCATAATGTAAAAGGACAAAATCTGAACATGGGAGGCAGATTTTACCAGGCTTGCTTACTAGTGACGCCCAAAATGGTATGTCTTTAAATGTTTTTCAGTTGATTTAGAGATTTACTGGCCAAGCTTATTAATCAAGAAGTGAATCAAGCAAATTTGCAGTCATTGATGGAAAGGTTAAACCCACGGGAATGATCATAAAACAGCACAATTCAAGGAGTCAGCTAACCCTGACAGTCAAAATTTAGAGGTCCATTGATTCACAGACCTCAAGAAGACTAAATACATGAATATTCTAAACACTGCACAGGATATATCAGGTAAACTATGCAACACTATAGAATGTATCTGAAATGTATCTGACAACTGCGTCTCCCCAAACACTCACCAACCAATAACATCCAGACATGTATAGTATGTAAACAACAGAAATACCAACAGCTTACTCACCATTTTCTTGCAGTCAGCCTTCAGTTCAGTGTTTTCTCGTTCCGCCCACGCCCGGTGTACCCAGTCCTCGCTCATGATGGGAATTCCGACACTGACAGCGAACTGAAACACACGAGATGACGACGTGCTGACCTGGTGCTGACAGAGGCCCACTGCCTGCCTGCCCACTCAACCGTAGGTCAACAAACACCAGCTCACTGTTTGTCTGGTGTGTTTGTACTGAGATCAACACCGTGATGACACCATGCATTATAGATGATGAAGAGAGGCCTACCTCACACCTTCACGTCAGAAATAGTAGGGGGGATCTGACTGAGATACTGCTGGTTTGCTGCTGTTGTTTACACAGAAACCTTTAATCTTTAATTTAAGCTTTATATGGTTACTAGTAACCATTATGAAACAGTTGCTTGATTTCCAGTTATAATGTTCAGCACTGACTCTAGACATCTGGTTTTACATTGTGCCAAGAGGACTGAAGTTAGGACCTGTATTGTTTCTGTTGTGGGTGGGTATAACGAATAATGCTATACAACTCACACTGTCATGATTGGAAGTGTAAATATTTCAAATATGACAACCCATTAGCTTTTAAGTTTATTTCACAGTTATGCTATTATCATTAATCAATGTCCTGGAGGGAGTCTCTTTGATGTGATTGTATTATTGTTACAAGAGTGTGTTTTTTTGTAATTTGTATTATCATTGATTAGGTGATAGTTATTATGGGTCACAATGTTTAAAGATTTGAGTGTGGGTTTTGGCTCACATCTCGCATCATATATGTTCAATGGCAATACTATTTTAGCAGTAGGCCTTTATGATAGCGCTCCAGAGTTGCCTCCCTTGGCTTTATTTTTGTTTTGACTCCTGGTCGAATGTTCAACATGATTCGTGAATGTTCTCAGTGGATAAAGAATGTTCTAGACTCTGTGTCAGTATATATAAAGGCTGGTTGTTGTGTTGATACACACACACGGACTAACACACGGAATTACACATGGACTTATCATATCACTGGAGTTGTATACATCTTTCTGCCATCACCTGCCTACCGTCGTCGTCTGTCAGTCTACATCGTCAAGACCGATTGTCTACTTACATTGTAAAATACCTTCAATTAGAATATCTGCTCTTATTGTAAATGCCAAGACTCTGGTGAGTTAATATTTCATATTTGTGACCCATTACAGTAGATTTGTGACTCAATTGCATTTTACTAAATATTTGCATTGTCATTCATTGTAGCTTGCTCATTGTTTGCTCCAAATATTATTGCATATTTTAGACTTGTCTGTGTTATATTTTGCTGGTTCAAAGGGGACTCTTAATCCTTTTTGTCATGGCAATTATTTAACCGTAACAACATTTTGAGATAATTTAAAAATATTTGTTTATTACTATTTGTTATGATCTAACAATTTTATTACTTCAGCCCTTTCACTCCCATGTAAATGAGTAGGTTCATAAATCAAACTTTCTCAAACAATCTGGCTTCATTTTAAAACCAAATGCAAAACTAAACTGCCACAGAACACAAATAAATTTTAAAGTTAAAGGGAATAGAATAATCATAAAAATGCTTGTATGTTTTTAAAAATCTATGGGAAACTGTAAAAGCAACCAAATTTCCTACATGACAGGTATTGTTTTGTGACAACATCCTATATTAAGTTCTATGATGTTGCTATTTGTACATAAAGGACATAAGTTGTGAGGTTTTTAATACAGTAAAAAAACATAGCCTTTCTTTGCTGTTTTGTTGGTATCAGAAAATACATGCTTTATCTGATCACAGGATAGTACTTATAAGTTTAATTGTGGTGAATTACAGATTCAATCTATCAGATTATACCAACGACCAAACAACAAGGCAACTAATCTGAATGTGACTGTTGTTGAGGTATACGTTAACTGTTTACAGCATCTGAATGCAGCATATATACTAAGCAGCAAAAGAAATGTCAGTTTGGAATTTTCTGTCAAGAAAAGGATAACTATAAACTCATTTAATGTTTTGATTGTATATTTTTTACAACATCTCCAACTTTATCTGAGCAAAGACATTCCTTGCCAAACTGGAACCCAGGAAATAGTCTCAAAACGCAACCTGATCTCGGAGATGGTACAGTGTTCTCCATGTTTTTCATGCAACTCATGCTCCACGTGCTGTTCACAAGGACCAGCCATATAAAATGCACCCCCAAACCTGGTTGAAACATTCACATTACAACGTCAGCAGGATGCCACGACTCACGACAGCTCAGAGGAACGAGGTACTAGGAAGACTTGAAGCTGGCCACACTGCACAAGCCGTTGCCAATCACTTCCAGGTCTACATTCGGACCATCTACAGGCTGCAGCAACCATTCCGGGTCACCAACACCACAAATGATCGTCCCCGTACTGGCAGACGAAGGGTGACCACAAAGACAACAAGACCGCAATGTTGTGTGACAGCATGTACAGAATCCCTTCATGCAGGCATCCGAAACAGGACGCCAGACAGTGGGAACACACGGAAGACCAATCAGTACTGACACAGTACACCAACGTCTTCACAGCGGGAACCTCCCCTGCCGTAGACCTTACCGTGGACCTATCCTCACTAGTGGTGGTCTGATTAATTGAAATAATCGAAGATTGGTCGTAGTGACTAAACGACCAAACAATCGATCATGTTCTCTCATAATCGAACACAAACAATTCTGGAACACTTGTTTTCATTAACAGTATTTTTCACTAGGTTGGTTTTGTCTGTTACATTTCATAAGCACTACAAGCTCGTTCCAAGTCATGATTGAATTTATCTTAAAGACGCTAAAAAATTCCTGTTCCTAACATACTAGTCATCCTTTAAAGATGTGAAATTTTGCCCCAAAAAACTCAAAGAACTACATGTTTTTTTCGGTATTTTTTTGTGTATTAACAAATTTCATAAATGGCGCTAACCAATTATTTTCGATGATTGATCAGTGGTAATGAACCAATCATCAATTATGAGATTTTAACCAATTCCAACACTAATCCTCACCCCTCGTCATCGGCGTGAACGTCTACAGTTTGCCCTACAACACAAAAACTGGCAATACAGGCAATGGAGAACTGTTCTGGTCACAGATGAGAGTCGGTACTGCGCATCAACTGCAGATGGCAGAACAAGACTATGGCAACGACGTGGCCAGCGTTACTAAGACCAATGTGTTATGGAAAGAGACTCATGGGGAGGTGAAAGCATCATAGTGTGGGGTGGAATAGGACTGAACAATAGAGGAGAGAGGAGGCGGCATCACAGCGGTGCGCTACATCGACTAAGCTCTCAGACCCCACGTCATACCACATTTCACACATCACCAGAACAACATTTTCCAGCATGATAACGCCTGGGGCCATACTGTCAGTGTCAGAGCTACACGGGACTTCCTACAGCAGAACGGTGTCAACAGTGGCCAGTCCTGATTTAAACCCAATTGAACATCTTTGGGATGAAATTCAGAGGAGACTGAATAATGTCATACTAAGGCCGAACACAGCTGATTTATTGCGCCAGGCCTTTCTCAGAGTGTGGTTCCAGGTGCCAATGGCCTTAATCAATCGATTGGTGTACTCCATGCATAGACGCTGTGCTGCAGTTATTGCCGCTCGTGGTGGTCACACTAGATACTGAAGTCAAGAGTCTGAATGGACTGCAACGCTCACGTAATGTCTTGAAATTGTGCTGAGTTATTCATTGATGTGTCAAGATATTGTACACAAAAAATGGTTTTGATCCGCTTATTATGTCCATTTCTGTAATGATTTATTTGATTACAGTGCCTATCTTATTTTGAATTCGTACTGACGTTTTTTTGCTGCTGAGTATATATGGAACTTATGCCAATGAGATTAACACATTCTTAAATTCTCACATTCCAAAACAGCATCTCAGTGAACAGACAAAGTGGCAGGGATTCCCCTGGAATGTTATGACTAAGGGCCTAGGGCCCACAGTGGTTTACTGTAGTGGGCCCTAAGTCCCAGCACCTGGTTCGCGCAGACCCGCTTATAAAGCGCCAGTTTTTTGTTGTTTTTTTGTTTTATCAACATAAAGTTGTTTTGTTTTTGTTGGTTTTTGTTTGTTTGTTTGGTTTTGTTGTGGGGTGGGTTTTTTGCCCTCCCATTGGTGGGGGTCTGCGGTGCCTCCCCCAGGACAATATTTTGATATTTTGAGGTGAAATGGTGATATCTGAGAGCCTTTCCAAGCCCAATATTCATCTTTAATTGCTCCCAAAACAGTTCAGTTTTAGGGTGTAAATACTTTATGAAAAAGAAATTATTCGTCAATCCAGAAAGTGTGTTTGATGCACTGATGGATCTGCACGCACGGCAACACATTTTGTTACTTTTTGCATCACAGCCAAGCCAATGATAAAGAGACAGCCAATTAGATTGGAAATTACGTTTGGTTTCTTCCTTTTCCTCCGTACAACCATCTCAAGTTTCCTTTTTGGTAATTTCAGGATAGTAAATTAGTGAACTGTTTTGAAATGCAAGCTCAGCTTGCTTTTTCGGCGGCATGGTTCAGCCGGAACATTCAGATGCATTCATATGACATCGGAATGAGAAACGATATATATTTGAATGAAAAACGGTGTCTCTCCAAATGTTCAACTCAATAATCCAGTTTTGAATGGGTAAACAAAACTGGTTTAATTTACTTCTGTGTTACATTGTTAATCGGAAACACTTGTTTTTTAATAGCACTAACCTTACAAATATACACAAGGAATAAGCAGAGGCGGATTTTGCTGATGTGGCTATCAGTGCATTATGCTGATGTGGCTATCAGTGCATTTTGCTGATGTGGCTATCAGTGCATTTTGCTGATGTGGCTATCAGTGCATTTTGCTGATGTGGCTATCAGTGCATTATGCTGATGTGGCTATCAATATCCACCTGGGTGTAAGAAATGTGAGCAATATTCCAGCAATATCACAGTATGGACGCCAGAAAGTGACTTAACACCCATGATAGGAATGGGTCCGGGTCCTAGGCTTGACAAGAGAATGTTTTAACTACTAAAGTACCCACTGCTGGTAAACCCCAAGAAGCTACTCACCCGGTACTTCTGACTCCCTCCACAGTTGGCCACCAGGTGGGTGACCTTGGTGTTGATGTCTTTCCTGACACTGCCTGCCATATGGTGAACCAGATCCACCAGGTTACACTGTCAACAGCAGAGAGACTGGCTGGTGGGTGGGGTCAAGTAATGCAAATACAACAGACAAGGGAGGCAACTCTTAGCAGCATTATTGTTCACGGGGATTCTGGAATCCTTGGAACATTTGAACAAAGGGATTCATGTCATCTCCAACTTTCAACATTAACTACATGATCAACACAGGGGAGGCAACTCTATGTATATTTATTTAGGTGTTTCCGGGAGTACTTGAGGCATTTCAATGTAGGGATGTCCTTACTCTCTAACTTTCAACATAACTTACAGGGCTCAATTGAGTGCTTTGTTACTTGTACTGGTGCAACCCAATATTACAAAGTGCAACCTAGTTATTAGTCTAACTTGCACCAGGTGCAAGTCAATCTTTGAGTGGGTAAACTTCAGAATAGAACATCTAAATAATTCAATAGCATATTTCTGATATTACATATTGCAATAAAAACAGTGCAACTGGAATTTGACGGGTGCAACTAGGATTATATTTAGGTTGCACCTGGTGCAAGTGGGTTAACATCTCTTAAATCGAGCCCTGACTTAGATTTACACAAGGGGGACAACTGTTACCATCTTGGGCACACAATGGGTGCAAAGAGACCTCTTCTTGGCACATGTTTGGTATCTATCCAAATATTATGACCTCGAAGAGAAGTCCCTTAATGAAACTTTGACAATATAAATGCATTTCTCTTAAGCTCAAAAAAAGAGAGGCTGTAGTAATCTTACATGTGCTTTGTGTATGATGTATATAAACACACTTGTTCTGAGGAAGTAAACATCTCAAATGATACCAGCAACATTTATTAAGCCAACACCTATTTTGAACTATTAGATAATAGAGTAAGAGGCGACTAACGGGATCGGGTTGTCAGGCTCGCTGACTTGGTTCACACGTCATCGGTTCCCAGTTGAGCAGATCGATGCTCATGTTGTTGATCACTGGATTGTCTGGTCCAGACTCGATTATTTACAGACTGCCGCCATATCGCTGGAATATTGCTCAGTGTGGCGTTAAACTAAACTCACTCACTCACTCAGATAATAGATTGGTCTCTCACCACTTGTTCCCGCACTTTGAATCCTGTGAAGCAGACAATAACCCCCTTCATTGAGGGGCAGAACTGTGGCCGGCTGGAGTAGGGGAGAGACTGCAACAAACAGAATAAACATGAAATTAATTATATTTTTTAACAAGAAGACAAAGTCATCAATAACCCCCGCAATGGCAAGATACTCTTCATGATTATGTCTACGAGTTATGATTATGTCAAATATTTAGGTGTGTATATAGAAAAGTGGAAGGAGAGTATTGAAAGGTTTTTTAAAGTTCTGCTCCAGAAAGGAGCACTATCACCAATTTCAGTCTAGGTCGAACTTGTTGCCATTGAAATGCCAAAAATATTTTATTCAGAATTCCAAAACTACCATTAGGCACCAGTACACCACCAGTCCTATGTCTGTGCCAAGTTTGGTGAAGAAATATTGAACGGTTTTAGAGTTCTGCTCCGGAAAAGACAAATGTGCACGGACGGACGGACGGACGAACGCACAGACGGAGTCCATTTTAATACCGCCCGCAAAACGCGTTGCGTGATAAAAACCAAGTGAGGCTTGACTCAATCAATACTTTCAGGATGGATCCAGTCATGAATTCGAACTCAATTTCAAATTACACAAACTATAATGGCCATCATCGTCTTTGTCATCATCACCATCGTTTTCATCATCAGCGTCGCTGTCACCACCACCACCTAGTATTTTAAATGTATCCCATTATGTAGACACACTGCAATAATCTGCATGGCAAACACAGGCCTTGTACCTCATTAGCTTTAACAGCACTGATGATGGCTGGGGGGCCCAGTATCCGCGCCTCGGCCTTGTGCAACTTATTGTAGATGTCCCCCTCAAAAGACGACAAGACGAACACAGTATCATACTCTCCGGCATCTGGCACAAACTCCAGGCCGGTCGGAGAATTCACAACATCTGCTTCCTCCACTGTCTGCAACATAACCAGCATCAGGATCATGTACAGGATCATCAGTGATAGAAATTAACTGGGATACAAAATTTGTTCAGAGTCCTGGGCTTGCAGAAAGCCTTTTTGGTAAATCATAGAGTATCATTCAAAACATGTCATCAGACATGAGTCATGAAACACATTAAGCAATCTTTAAGCATTAAAAGTGGTGTAAAACCATATTCACTCACTCACTATCAGGAAAAAAACAACTAGCCCTAGGAACACCAAAACAAAAGACTGACTCTCAATGTCAAGCTTGTGCCAATATGTATAACTGCTCAACTCAAATGTTTGATGCATAATTCCACACTCAGCAATATTCCAACCCTATGATGGTAGTGTGATATAATCTAGTGACTGACATCATGTGTATTGATCTGCACAAATAGGATACAACGACATACAATCAACCATGACACCCAACCTGACCATCCAATCCCTTTTGTTGTGTCTTATAAAAAGGCCAAAGAAAAAAAACGTTGTGGTTCCGATAACACCTCTTTAAAATTTAGGGTAGGTAGGTAGGAAGGATTTATTTTTCATTTTTTTTTAGAAGTAAAGTACGAACTAATAACACATTTATCAATGTGTAATTGTTTATTCAATTAAGCTTGCGGCCTTCATGTCGACTTTCTCTATCAGAATGACCGATATCTGTCGGTGACGGGCAAAAACAATGGTATCTAAAAGCTTATTTTATTCATACCTCTTAAAAAAACTAGGGTCGGCACCAGAATTCAAGGGTCGGTCAGGTAATCGGATCGGAACCACAAGATGCTGGAGACCTACATATTGTTGTGCCACTCCCCACCAGTATATACGAGCACAGCTAATGACATTGACATAACAGAATTATAATGACAACTCTGAAAAAAAATAACCTTACAAACTTTCTTATTTCTAACATTGAACTAACATTAAAAAAACTGCCCCAGACTTAACAACAAGTGTAATAACCTATTATCAGTGTATCCTGGCTCAGCAAGGGGCATAACTCTAAGGTAGGCATGCTTCCTAGGACTGCCTGAAAGAGGGTCAGTTAAGTCCTCACCTGTAACGCCTTCTTGAGGTCTGTGTGTTGTTGACACTCACTGCCAACGAGGACGACGCGAAGTGCCTTGCCATCTGTAACAACCAACTTCATCATTCACACCCACACATACGACATGTACAAGGTCACATCCATTTATATATAGACAGGGTTTGTGGAACAAATGAACAATTGTAACTTTATCCAATCACTAACCCTAGTTACCATCTTGTGTCACTAATGGCGCAGTTGTGAGTCTACTCTAGAAGCAGTTAGTACTGTCAGACAAATGTCGAACACTATGTTACAACATCTGTCTATATAACCATGTTTCCATGGTTACTTTAATAAGCTGACTGACAAGAAACTTGAACAAAGAAACTTGATCAGAACTAATCTGTAGTTAGTAAACTGACAACAAACTACATATACACATACTATTATGTACTATTGTTAGAATCTGATATTCAGATATAGTAAGTCTAGTTAGTAAATTGATGGGTAATGGATAAGCTATAGATAAGCAGCATGGTGCAGTGACACTGATATATACGACTGCCATGACAATAAACTACTATATTCATTCATATGTCTATTTACAACGTGCTTGCCTTCACTGAGCGTGCTCAGAGCGCATACATGAAAGGATTAGACAAGGAGAGACTCAAACTTAGGAAGCCTGATAGGAATATGTTTTGAGTGGCCTTGAACTGTCCTAGTGACAGGTTTGCTTCGGATGGACTGGTAGTGTGTTTTATTTTATGGCAGTTGCAACACTAATGTAAGGATCTGTATATAAACGGTTTCAATTTCCTGACTGATAAATTAGCCATAGGATGTCCCTCGGATTTGTACATGGGACTGATGTAAATGTATCACAACAGGACATGAATGTTTCGTTTACAACTGACGAAACAGCAGATGCTAAACAAGCAATCATCATGATAATAAAAGGCTTTGGCAAAGAGCATGAACTATCTGTTCAGCCATGTAAACAGGTCGCTTCATGATCACTTCAGTTCAGTGATACAATCAGCCCTTCAAAGCACCTAACCAGCAAATCACCAGTTTTATTGTGTTTTCACATACATATTTGTGTAATTCACGCAGATACGCAGCTTATCTGTACCTCTGAGTATACATGAAGTTTTGTGATTATCTCTGTTGTTTAAGTTAAAATCTACACAGACTTTTATTCACACTACAGTCATCCATTGTAATGAATTGACAAAACACCATACTTCACATAAAAAATACATTTCATAAAACATGAAAAAGAAAATACAATCACTCAAAATCAAAAAGATAAACTCTTTCTGTTATCACAACCATTAGGTTTATGGACTTAGAGTGTAGAAAATAGGCTCTGCATGTACAATTGATGTCACTCACTGTTAAACACTAGGGCTCGCAATATATCACAATATGTATTGGAATATGGGTACCAGAATCGCAACATATTGCAATACAATTTATTTGCCAATACACAGCTCTAGCTCAGACTGAATAAGGTCAAATGTTAATCTGAACAGGCTAAGTTTACTTAAATCTCTTTGGCTGGGTTTCTAGACATCAGTTTTAATTATGAAGTTCATCTCATTAACATTATCAGCTTAGTCTTCAGTCAGATTTATTGTATGCTGTGTTTTGTGTCACCAGAGGCAAACTGACGAATTATTTCCAGAAGAGTAAATAATGGTAAATAGAAGGTAAATTACTGAATCTGGTCCAGACAAACCCATGGTTGATATTATGAGTGAGTGAGTATGGTTTTATGCCACTTTTAGCAATATTCCAGCAATATCATGGTGCTACACCAGGAATGGGCTTCACACATTGTACCCATGTGGGGAATCGAACCCTGTCTTTGGCGTGACAAGCGAACGCTTCAACCACTAGGCTACCCCAACGCCCTGATTGATGTTATAACAAGAACCCACAGGCTACTTTTGTTTTCAATGGTTTGACCACCAGGGCCCTCTTACACAAACTGATTGTTGCCCTAATTACATAGTTTGTTTTTTTTCGCTGGGTGTTCTTAGCTGGTTTACAGGTTATTGAAAAAAAGAAATTCACTTCAGTCGGAAAAATAATTCAAAGATGTTTTCAGTGTCACTATGGGCAGACAAGAAATCTAATCACAGCAGGAGTTAATGACACTAGCTGTCAACAGTGCACTGTCACAGCAATACCTGCTGTAAACCAGTTCTGATGGATGACTGAATCATCAACATATATATTTGATATATTGCATTATTCTTTACAGGTTTCAGGTCAGTGATAAGATATTTTCTAACAATGATAATTCAAAGTTTTATATTGATCCCCTATTTTCTCCCTATTTGTGTACGAGGATCCACAAATTTAGCCTATCATAAAAGGGACCTAAAGTGCTGGGACCTTTTCCACCTTGGGTGCCTACAGATGTATGGGGTGCTTCATTGAAGCCCTTGGGTTTCCTTCGATTTAGAAGGGAAAAGTTTGTGTAACCTTAAAAAACTCTTACTAGTTCCATAACAATTCAAATTTTTGGCTTTGTGTCACAAGCAGGATTTTACATGACGCGTGATTCCTGCGTATTTGATGCAACAATTTTGTAAAAGACTCAGAGTCACTCTCAAAATATTATAATATGAGTCAAGCTTGACGCAAGTCTTATGGGTGACCATCAGAATTCAGTTCAATAAATCAACTTCATAAACAAACAATGATAGACTTCTGTGGTAGTTTGACTTTTTCAGAGCTGTCAGATTGTTCAAGGGAACTCAGAGGAGACACTAATCCTGGTTGTTTGAATTGAAATATGCTGTAGTTGCATTTGGTGGTGTGACATACACAGTTACCATGGGCGGATCCAGGAATTTTGAAAGGAGGGGGTTCAGGGGGTTCGAACCCCTGAACACCCCATTGGCTCCGTCAACGCAAAAAAAAAATCTTCAATGTGATCTTAAGTCATTTTCAATGGGTGGGGGTGGGGGGTGGGTTGTTGAACACACACCCCTTGTGGATCCGCCACTGGTTACATACTGAGAATAATTAACACAAATATCACGCCAATGAAGTGATCTGTTCGGACTCACCTTTGCAAGTGATAACTTGTCACAAAGTTCACAAATGTTGTCAGTAAATAATCTTACGTTTTTCATGCTGTAGGTCTTTATTAGATTTTTTTTTCAGTTCATGTTCATAACTGTACGTTACAGTAAATAAATCACATTATTTGTTCAGGATACTGGAATTTATTATGATTGAATTTAACAGTGGAAATATTACTATTTATCAACTAATCATATAAATGACAATACAACACAAAACAATAAAATCTTTCCAAAACTCTTGCTTTCGGATTTACAAAAAGAAATATTAAATTTTCATGACTCAAATATTGAAAATGACTCCCCCAAATAATATTGTGAGTCACCATGACTCCCATTTTTCAACATCTGTGTAAAACCCTGCACAACACAGTGGCCCAGATAAGCTGCGTACCCGGGTAAAGTACGCATGAAAAAATTCCAATTACGCATTGAAAAATAATTGTTGCGTACCAAATTACGCATTTAAAATGTTACATACGCAAAATGTTTAAAACAAATGCGTACAGAATATATTTATAAAAATCGCTTGCATAATAGAAAGGCATCGATTGCTATCAAGTTGTACTGATAGTATAGGACTAGTGTTGTACTGTCAGTATAGAATGAGTGATTTTTTTATGAAATCATTTCCCTTATATTTATGTTGGTTTTGATTAGGTATGACATAAGGCAGAACATACCTGCTTAGTAAACTTACTCAATGACATAATACTTAGGTGAGTAAAATGACCGAAATACACACATATTTGAAAGCAGTGCGTAACGGAAAATGAAATACCCACTCAACATTCATAATACCCACTCCAAAAAAATACAGTGGGTACAGTACCCACATGAGCTAAATCTTATCTGCAGCTCTGACAACACTCGTATACCAGTGTGAATGATTCCAGTCTCTGCACAAAGAGGAACTGAATCCACCTGCTTTCAGTTTATCATGGAGCATTACATTAAATTTACAAGGAGCGGACAATAAACACATAACAATGAACACAAATACTGATCGTAACTTTTCTGCAGTTTTCAGTATGTAATTTTTTGTCGGCTCTATGCAAAAATAAAACATTATCCAATCAGGACATGCCACACACAAAGCTCAAGGCAACATTGATGATGTACGAGCACAAAATGCTTTAAATGGATGATGGGAGAAGGCAATGAAGAGCTAGATTTGACTTGGTGTTTTAACACGATAAGCATATGATACAACTATTTCTGACAGAATCTGAGCACATTATGCTTTAGATGGATGATGGGAGAAGACGATGAAGAGCTTGGTTAGATTTGGGATGTAAACACGGTAAGCAGAAAACTACTTCTGACAGAATCTGAGCACATTATGCTTTAGATGGATGATGGGAGAAGACGATGAAGAGCTTGGTTAGATTTGGGATGTAAACACGGTAAGCAGAAAACTACTTCTGACAGAATCTGAGCACATTATGCTTTAGATGGATGATGGGAGAAGGCGATGAAGAGCTTGGTTAGACTTTGGATGCAAACATGGTAAACATACCACTATTTCTAACAGAACTTGTCTGCTCACGAATGTTGCACCGAGACCGTATAATGTGTTGCTGGCCACGATTAATATAAACTGAAACAAACAAAATGTGCAACTCAAATAAAACAGTGACATGTGCATGCAGACTAAATAATACATCTCAACTACGACTACCGGTATGTGCACAGGGATGGAAATTAACTAAGGAGATCCATGACCCGAAAAAGAGATCACATAAAGCAGTACCCCATAAATTAATTGTTTAAAATTATTTGCCTTTATGATACATTTAACACTATAATTTAACAAAACTGGTCTGGCCCAGCAGGTTAGTGTTTATTTCCATCCCTGACCGGACTAAAGACAAAGCAAAGAAAAACAATAGCATCATATGAACCACTAACCATGACAATATTTCATAAAGACAACATGTCAACACAGTAAATAATTGTGAACATTAATATTGATAAATGTTCTATGTTTGCCTAAAACAGATTGAATGAAATAACATAAGTATGAGTGAGTGAGTGAGTGAATTGGGTTTAAGGCTAGCAGCTTTTAGCAATATTCCAGCAACATCACGACGGGGGACACCAGAAATGGCTTCACACATTGTACCCATGTGGGGAATCGAACCCGGGTCTTCGGTGTGACAAGCGAATGCTTTAACCACTAGGCTACCCCACCGCCCCCATAACAAGTATGAACATTATGTGCATGAGAGAGGCAACGAGCATCTGTTTAGTATGAAATACTGTGGTAGCTTCAATACAGACATGATAAGACAGAAGATTACCATCAGAACACACCATGGTAACTATGGTAACTAGGGCTGCAACGAATACACTATGTGGCGAATATGATATGTATCATGAATATTGGGTTACGAATACGAATAATTATTCACGAATACAATATTGTAGTTATGTGATTGATGCACAATATGGAATGCCCATTTTGATAGTTTTGATTTGTCACAGCAATAACCAGTGATCTCATGACACTCAAATTTGTTATGTAATAGTTATAGTCGACAGTACCATGTGCGGCCTTGGCAAACTAACATGACTTGCGCTACTGCAATGCTAGTACATATTCAATCCTTGCATATCTCACTTTCCAAAAGTACACAAGGGTTCAAGTAAAACATGCTTCCTTAAACAAATTGTAAATATTTGTTAATATTCGGTTCTGGTGACCACGAATAACGAATTGAATTCATGAAGGGCTACGGTTCGATTCACCGAATATGCGAGTGCATCGTTACAGCCTTAATGGTAACCATTCATGATATGATTTGTTCTACAATTTGTTTATTTTCTTCCTTCAGAAGAGTATAGGTATAAGTTGATACACCTTTCATGTGTTTAGGAACCAGTGTTTGAGCTTAAAAGAAATGCTAAGGACGTGTCAACAGTAATTCATAAAACCATGTGCCTTATAGCACAATACACATATAATTCTTTATAAAGTGTATATGCACTTACAAATCATAGAATTTTTAACAATTTAACAACATGAAATTAGAAAACATTTTGCACGCTTTGGGTGACATTCAGAGATTTTCTCCTAGACTGTTTCTAAATAACAGAACATATTTTATCATGTTCAGGGAAGAGAAAATATTACCTTATTAACATCAAAATCTTTGTTTATTATGTTTTGTGTGCATAAATGTAAGGGGAAATATGATAAATCTTGATCAACATTAACATGTTAACCAAATCTGAGGGAAATATTGACTTCTCGCACGGAAATATCATCTTTGGTTTCCAGGGTAAAAAAAAACCCCACTTACTGTGGTGATTTTACTTGTGAAATGTACACTATATAAAATAAGTTTAAAAAATATAAAGCCAAACTTTTAATTTCTCTAAAGAGAAATACAAAACTATTATAAAGCGACAAAATCTATAGCATTCTCAAATGCAATGCCAGCAAATTTCTATGCCTTTTGGTATTCCTTCCATGCACTTTTTGCCAGTTATATTGATCCATGATGTTCTGTATATCAGAACTCAACTTTGAAATTACATATGTACATTTGAATCACATATCAGCTTCCAATGGATGATGAAAATGTATTAGTAGATGTACTATGTGGAGTACAACTTAACATTTAAATTATCTGTGGATATCTGCATCTTGTACCAGCTTCGGAATGTATGATGATTATTGTATACTACTTGTACTGTGTACATTACAATCCAACCTGTGAATTACTTATTTAATTCTGTATCATGTATCAACTTCTGACTGTATGACAATGATTATATTATGTAACATGTCAATAATATACCTGGGAAATAAACATACTTTTCCAAAAAAACAATAAAACAACATGTTAACAAATTTGATTCTAACAGAATTATCAAGCAAGTGAAACATTGCTCCTAAGTGTAAATAAAGAAGTCGTTCATCCATATATCTCATCCTTACTCGTAAACAATGAAGACAATTGCCAGGCATCAAAGTAGACACTTTTTATTCAAACATTGTCTTGAGTGAATGAAAATATACGTGCCAATTCAGTTCGTAGGTCAAATGGATTGGAAAATATGATCAAATAAACATTCCATGTGGTACACTGTTATTTGTTTTTCATTCATATTCCATTAGTAAGAACAAGTTAAATTGAAGTATTCTAAATACCCCTATCATTTAGATGGTATGTACGATTGTATTTATGGTGTTAGGGATGGGGAAAGTAATGCGTATCTTATTTTTTCAGACAATCAATACAAATTATCATATTTAGTTTCAGCAAATACGACACAACAATGGAAACCTCCCGTGGGAATAAAAGGCCACGCCTGCCACATGTTGAGAAGATGTGGCTTCAGTCACGCTTGGTCACCTGTCATATTAATCCACCAAATTTAGGAACATTTCACGATCGACATCCTTTTTAATCTCAACAATCATGACAAAAACACGAGTATGTATACCAGTGCTTGAATTTAAACAACATCACGTGTTAAATGTGTATTCAACAGGCGACCCTTCGTGATGATCTATCACCGAAAATGTAAACACAAGGCCGACACCTGTTGAAAACAAGATGCGACATCGCACCAGTCGTTATCTGATGTGAACAAATGTAAAATACAATTTACATTTCACAGATTGGCATGATAATATAATATCGAACCATTCGATCGAGACATACCATCCTCTTTCACAACCTGAAGTACTCTTCCATCCGCCATTGTTTTGGGCCGACATGAAACTTTGAATTTGGCGGTGGTAAGTTAAAAGCCCATACCTGATTGGTCGTTTTGAACTTCCGGTACAATATTTCAACGAATGGGATATAAGTTAACATAAACTTTGCATATAATATTACCTTACGACTTATTAGACACTGTAAAATGTTGAACTTTGTTTCGAACCGAAATAAATATTAACGACTGCCCTGCTGTGGAAGAGAACATTTTTGCTTGAATAAAGTATCGTTTGCAATATCACTTTTTGTCATATACTGTTATCACCCGTCACGTATTCCCTGATGGTTTTGATCATCCGTGTGGACGATAATTTCAAGTTGCTTATATACTGGAAAAGATAATCAAATTCTAAGATTAATTTATTGTTGATGAGGGTTGGTCGAAGGCACCAGGAGAGGGTTACCAAATATATCACAGACTGTTGGGGACGGTAGTAAAAAATGTACACATTTTTGGTGTAGGGTTTTAAATAATTTACATTTAATTATAATATGTAGTGTTATATGCTTTTGCATTTTTCTTTTAGTAGATGGTCATTGATGCATAGGCACGAGGACTTGCGGAGAGTGAGTCGAAACTATGGCAAGCATTAATGGAGGGTCATTATTTTTAGCACGTCAGAGCATCAAGACACCAGTAAAATGATAAAGAGCGTACGTCAATTGTTACGTCAGACTGGATTTCCAAGAGTTCTGTTAATGAATCCGAGGTATATTTATTTCTTTATAAACATGTGCACCAATCAAACTGAAAACACAATTTTAAAAACTATTTTGTACCACTGATTTACTTTTTCTTACGCCTTTTTCAAAGAGTATATCTAGTGGCTTTCGAAACTGGAAGAAGCGCATGTCCCAGGCCGATCCATATATTGCTCCTTAAGAAATAAAAAAATTCTGAAGTATTGTGTTTCCATTATATAGTAGTATACACAATGAGAGAATTGAAATTCCACTGAAAAGAGAATAGTTTTTACTTATGAAGACCTATTTATTACTACATTCAGCTGCCTGAAACATGTCATTCGACCCATGTTAATCTGAAAGAAACACTGTTGTTGTTGCCACTGATGTCAGCCATAGGCTCACGTAGACCCATTGTTCCGACGGACGGGTGTCGACTGTGTGTTATAATGTTGCCCTATAAACTATATATAGCCCGGCCGACGGGTCGAGGACAGAGGAAGTTTCATCGCGATAGCCTCTTTTTTATTTGCGGTTTCAAGTGTATAAACTGTTCTGTTTTGTTCAAAGTGTTGGGCGTGTTTGCTGACTTAAGTTGCATAACGTTATCCTCCGTGACGAAGTCAGTCAAGCGTGTTTGTTGCAGCTAGAGTCAAACAGTGAACGGAACAAACAGTTTGTGGGTGGGATTGCACAATAAAGCCTGTTCGTGCAACAGTCGTGGCAGGGAGTTGTGAACAGCTCTTTATCTGGTTCAGTCAAATTCAAGCAGAGTGAGTGAGTTGGGTTTTACGCCGCTTCAGCAATGGAAAAAGAGTTCCTTCCGTTCCCCGTTTCTTTCTTCCGCAGATTAACAGAAGTAACGCAATGTGGTTCTACCCTATATATTGTAATTCATTTTTTGGCTTTTAGTTATTTTTGTGAGTTCTCTAGTAATTGTTGTGTTAGGTTTGGTTAATAATTTTAGTATATATTATTTTATAGATATTATTTTGGATGGGGGAACGGGAGGAACTCTTACCCAGCAATGTTCCGAGACACCAGAAATGGGCTTCATATATTGTACCCATCTGGAGAATCGAACCCCACATTCGGCGTCACGAGCGAACGCATTAACCACCAAGCTACCCCACCACTCCCACGTCACCACCATAGGTACCGTACAGCCAAAAACAACAGATTATTGAATTATTCAGATTATATCAGAAGAAGCTGGTTAACCCGTTTCGTTTTACACCGCACTTAGCAATATTCCAGCTATGTGGTGGCGGTCTGTAAATAATCGAGTCTGGACCAGACCATCCAGTGATCAACAGCACGGGCATCGATCTGCGCATCTGGGAACTGATGACATGTGTCAACCAAGTCAGCGAGCCTGACCACCCGATCCCGTTAGTCGCCTCTTACGACTAGCATGGGTTACTGAAGATCCATATTCTAGCCCGGACCTTCACTGGTGGGTAACTTCAGCAACCCATGCTTGTCGTAAGAGGTGACTAACGGGATCGGTGGGTCAGACTCGCTGACGTGGTTGACACATATCATCGTATCCTAGCTGTAGATCGATGTTCATGATGTCAGTCACTGGATTGTCTGGTCCAGACTGGAATATTTAAAGACCACCGCCATGTAGCCAAGATATTTTTATGGATTAAACTTCTTTTTTAATTTCTCTCTTACGACGTTTCGAGACCATTCCAGGTCCCTTCATCAGGTGAACTGGCAGTTAGGACTATGACGTCATAACTGAGTTATGACGTCACAATGCAAGTGAGATCACAGTACACTAGGGAGAGTACTGTTATAAGTGAGTTTGAAGAGTTAATTATTACCCACGTGGTCAACGTATGGGTAGTTGCACATTAATCTCGTACGTCACACGAGTGTCGTATCGCGTTGACCTGTGTCGTAACGACTTGACCTGAAATTCTAACGATTTGATTGGATAACCGATGACCTCTCAATTAGGTCACATTCTGACGTAACTACTTTTTCATTCATAACAAAAACGTGAATTCATTCATTCTACAACTTAAATGCATTGTGGGAATGTAAACATTGCGAACGTTGCCGTGTCGCTGTTTAATTGTGAGTCGAACTGAGACATTATATCCGTCGAAAAACAAACGCAATGTTTCCACCAGTGATGTTAGCCGAATGAAGCAACTGGAAACCAAGAAACGAGGTGCAACGAAGTAGTTTACTGTAGGAGGCTGTACGAGGCGATGACAACTGACATGCATCGTGACGTCGGTTACCATGGCAGTGACGTCATTAGTGTGACGTCATGCAAATATTGTACTACAGTACAAAACTCTTCCGCAACCTCTTTATGAAACCGGTTTCGGTTTGAAACCAAAAACATAACAAAAATACGCTATTTTGTCAATTTAAATGCATGTAAGACGTGGGTAATAAATAAAATACCACACTCGGTCTCATTACATACGAATTATACGAAACTCGTGACCTTCCTATGTTATCTGACCTCGCTTTCGCTCGGTCAGATACCATAGGAAGGACACTCGTTTCGTATAATTCGTATGTAATGAGACCTCGTGTGTAGTATTCTCTATTTACATAATGATGAAAATTCATGCTTAATAATACAGTTGAAAGTTGAATTGTCAATACACAACAACTGCTAATTACACAAAAGTTACTTGACAGCAGGCTTTCCGAAAAGAATAGTAGACTCGTTTTTCTTTTATCAAAAGTTAATCAAGAGGTCCCACACCTAACTGCCAGTTCACCTGATGAAGGGACCTGGAATGGTCTCGAAACGTCGTGAGAGAAATTAAAAAAAGAAGTTTAATCCATAAAAATATCTTGGACATCAATGTACAACTTCTAAATGCCACTGAAAGACATCACCGCCATATAGCTAGAATATTGCTGAGTGTGGCGTTAAACAACAAACAAACAAAGGTTGTTATTAGCATCCCACAACACCGCAGTCGATGATGTAGACTAACAACTCTGATATGAACATAGTTTACAGAAAAGGAAGTTCATAGTAAAAAAATGAAATACATGTATATTGAAAACGAGCCCAGAGACTTTCTCCATTTGGAAATCTAGACTTGCCACATTTTCTAGACTTGCGTGGTCTTTCTTGGATATATTTGCTTCATGGTCTGTGTGACAGACTATCGATGATGATACGAGCTGTTCACCAAAAGGTGAGCGAGTGTGTTTTAACGCGCTGTTCCAGCAATATTCCAGCAACACCACGGCACCAGAAATGGGCTTTACACATTGCACCCACAATAATGTGGTTCAGGGACTCTGTGACAGACTATTTCTGGTGTTGAAAACCCCAAGTTTGAGTAACACCCCGCCTTCTTGCATAGAACCGGTATAACGGTTCATGTTGAAATTCGGTTTCCTGTTATTGTGTGGTACGGACTTCGTCTCAGAAAACAGGAGGAGATCTGAATTTACTGCGTAGCGTAATTAATGTGATACTGTCTTGTAATTCGTGTAAGGAGACGATCGTTTGACAGTGCTTGTCCCACAGCTCAGAAATTACATGCTTCTGTTTTTTTGCTAAGCATTCGGGCTACATGGGACATTGATATGCCCCTTAAACTTATAATTTTGCACACTTCATTTTTACCCGTTTTCTTGTGGACATTTAGTATATTTTCAGGAGAAAACCGCACTGAACCGTCAATGTAATCAGACGTTCAGGCTGTCCACATTTTTTCAGTGTTTCTCATATTCACTCAGACGTAAAACAATTTAAAAGTTTTCTTACCTCTATTTCCCCAAATACTGTGGAAAATTATGCACCGATGTGAAAAAGATATTCTTATGGTTGCACAAAGTCTGTCATACAGACCCTGAAGCAAATATATCCAAGAAATCCCACGCAAGTCTAGAAAATGTGGCAAGTCTAGATTTCCACAGCCTCAGGCGACATACAATGTACTTAGCCCATTCACTCAATCTACAATGCATTTGGGTTGAAAAATGAAGAAGTCTCAGGGCTCCTTTTTATTATATTTTGATTTTTTTCACTATGAGACTTCTTTCTGTAAAATATGTGTATATCAGAGACTGGTTGTTAGTCAACGTTGCTCACTGCCAGATTGTTCTTCATCTATTATTTAATACTAAGAAATTGATTCCATAGCAAAGAGACTCGACCTACATCATACATCACTTGAAAGATAATAACCAAGTGATCTTATCTAAGAAAATAACAACTGACCCAGTTGATACACAACAAGATACAAACAAAACAAACAATAACCAAAAACACCCACCAACATTGGAGTTTCTTCGAAAGCAAAATCGCATCTACGGAAGCGCTCGTAAAATCTCTTAGATATACCCCTACTGTATCTGTGTCCAACAACCAACGAGATGCAGGGATTACATGGGGTTGAGTAGGCCGAGTTCTTGCATGTAGGGCTGAAGGGGTCGTTGTCGACACGAATACTATAGATGTGACCATTTCGCACTGTGCTGTTTAATTGATGCGTTGGTTGGTTTGTTGGTTGTTTAATACTGCACTCAGCAATATTCCACCTTTATGGCGGCGGTCTGTAAATAATCAGGTCTGGACCAGACAACCCAATGATCAACAGCATGAGCATCGATACGATGACATGTGTCAACCAAGTCAGCGAGCCTTACCACCCGATCTCGTTAGTTGCCTCTTACGGCAAGCATGGGTTGCTGAAGACCAATTCTAACCCGGATCTTCAGGGGTTTTCTTGATCGGAACTATTAACTGCTGTGAGGTGAGGTGAGCACACTCCGGCGCAGTGATGACTTAGCATAACATCACTGCCACAGGCTAATTTGCATATCACGTGACCGGACTTTTCTCTTGTTTGTAAACAAACGCGCATATTCATAATAAGAAGAGACTGGCCTTACGCAAGCTTTTCGGCGCGCTCTTAACAGTGTTTTACATTGTTACATATATATTCTTCCACAACTGCGACAGTAACATTTATGACAGTACATATTTAGATATCAAACTGGCTGCATCGTTTGCTCTCCGTCGGCTTCGATGACAGCACGTGGAGCCGTACAACCTATGTAAACAAAGGTTCGCTACGCAAATCGAAATAGTGTTAGATGTTTTAGGATATTTTCTCAGTGAAACAAAACCATTCTATCAAACATGTTTAATTAGATGCGTAGACTCGTCAAAAATAAAAGAGTTAAGAAATATGTAGATTAGCCTATATTGAATGGACGGTGCAAGATGTGACGAATCGTCACATCTTTCTGGCCTGTTGCAGAGGTACTATGCTGGCTTGCCGCAAGGAACTCTGGGTAGGAGAGTGGTGAGGTGAGGTGAAATTGGGTTTAACGTCGTGATTGAGAATATTTCGCTCATATGACGACGTGCATGCGTGTGTATGTGTATGTGCGGCTGCATGTACTAGCCCAGACTAAAGCTGGTTTTATAGTGCTAGCCCACTGAGTTACCCCACTCAACCACATTATACTGAGTCCGAGCCGACCAGTCCTTGTTGTACCCATTAATGCCGAGCGCCAGGCAGGGACCAACAAGTACCATATTTTAACGTCTTTTGGTATGACGCGACCGGGGATCGAACCCGCGACCTTCCGCTCTCCGGGTGGACGCTCTAACCACTACACCACGGAGGCGGTCTCATACTGCTGTATTAGATGCCTTTGGTTATATGATATATGAAACGAGCATACTCTGTAACTGATATTTCATGATTCACAATCGCAATCAGTTGGACGGAAACAACTACACGCGGTGTCCGTTTTTTGTTGTTGTTACGGAATATGGACTCGTCCGCCGTACGAAACGTACCCGGGGTACATATACAATGCCGTCCGGTAATTCCGCGCACACCGATCGCAACACGGCAACTAACGTCTCTTATTTTTTGTGGTTTACCTGACTAAACATGTTGGTATGCATCATATTTAACCTAGAAATATTAGTTATTAGTATAAGATTCTAACGTTGCATTAGTGGTGGCGCGTGGTCATGTGCACAGACCTCAGGTCACGAATCAGTTGAAGCTAAGCAACGTCGAGCTCGGACAATCCTTGGATGGGTAACCGTGTTTGGCAGCTTGACTCCTGAGAGTTTCTAGGACTTCAGGCCTGCCCCACAACGAAGATTAGCACATGTGATACATGTGGTCTCACCTTAAGCAAGTGAGTTTGTTCAAATTGCCTCTGTTCACCCAGCAGAAAATGGGTACCCGGTTGGATAAAGTCATGTAACTATAACCTTCTAACGCCTAACAGGCAGCTTGGGTTATCCGGGGTAATAAGAATCAGATTCTGATTAAGCACCGCGAGCAATCACTTGGTGTTTGGAAACTGTGCGCTATAGAAGATGACTCCTTATTATTATTATTATGCCATACGGTTGACCTTACCGGAGTTCTGACGACATCGCTTGCTGTCCGGTAATTCTGCGCAGCAACTGATGCGCATAACATCCAGCTAGAGATCAGAAGTATGGAAGCGTATTAGGGTCAGATTATTTTCAAAAATCACTTCATCAATGTAAGGAAGAGTGTTTCATATTAAATCCAATTATGAATAATGAAGAAAAAGGTTCAAAGTCTGAAGAAAACGAATTTTCATAAAACTGTCAATTTATCTGTCAATTACTGTTATTTGTATGTGGTGTCCTCCCACCTCACCTAATTTTTACCCGTTAGGTACGGAACATTAGTTAGATGATGTGGGTATGACATGCCTGGTTGATTACTCAGGATTAGGTGAAGTGGGTATGGGAGAGTCCATTTATATGTAGTACCTGTGCAGACAACGCCCCCTTCAGCCAAGTAGGTAGCAGCGTCGGCTATTCCGCCCTCCACTAGATAACAAGTGGGAAGTGTACACAAGTTGGTCAGCCCTATATTTTATCCTCTCAGATTAACGATATTGTTTGCAGTACGATAGCACTATATCGACGAGAATGTAAAACTGCCAGACTAACTTCAATAGATCAATACAGCCATATTAGTGAAAACAGCCCGCACGGACATCCTTGTTGGAAAGTTGGTCACTTGTTTGTTTAACGCCACACTCGGCAATATTCCAGCTTTATGACGGAGGTCTGCAGATCTTGTAATACGGACCTGACAATCCAGTGACTGATATAATGAGCATGTGATGTGATGATATTTGTCAGCGAGCCTGAAAACCACATCCCGTTTGTCGCCTCTTAAAACAACATGAAGATCCATTTCAACCTTGATCTTTTAGGGCTACAAGATTGGGTTGCTGAAGATCGGTTCCAACCAAAACCTTTATTAGCTACAAGCATGATTTGCGGGAGGCCATTTCTACCCTAGATCTCCACGGGTTAACAAACACACGCCCGATTCACGAGAGTCTGATACAACTTCCGTGAAATTTGTAAAAAATGTTAAAAAAATGAAAATATAAGAGTGGAACCACCCATAAAATCACACACACTACACGGAGACACATTGCACTCCTGCAAATATTATGTCCCAAATGGAATGTCTCAGATATTTTTAGCTCTTATTTAACGGCCCACGTCTACAGATTCCCGTAGCCTAAAAATTAGATCAACGCAAACCATGAACGACAATCTCTCTCCTGTTCATGATAAAATTGTTTGTACGTGACATGCATCACATTCACCCCTGACTCATTATCACCATGATATGAGCGTCAGGCTTCCCCACTGATATCAGCGCAGTGTTATTGTGTCAAGGAATGTAGAGCGGCTTAGCTCTGTCAACGCGGATAGTTACTCAATCGGGTTTAATCGAGTACAATCCTGTAATTTCAGCAGACGCTTGCGGTTCTTCTTTTTATGTTATGAGTTGTTATCTAGCAGCATGTATTAATAGCATGGTTAGCATTTCTATGGACGGCGCTCATTGGTTTAAATTCCAGCTGTATCTGCGACAAGGACCAATCGATGTCGCCGACACTGAACGCGACACTTATCACGACGATGTAAACAATTCTAAAATGTGTATATATCTTGTCACCACGCATTCAGATTGTGATCACACTTTGTGACAGATCCTGTTTGAGAACAGTTGCAAACTCAAGCTGCCGCAAACACGCTCTGTTAACAAGTTGTGGCTTTTCTGATTCCCAACAGCACCGGCAGGTCACATGTGGATGCGGACGCGTTGATTGTCACGTACACAGTTTGACAGCACCCCGTGCATTCGCTGCCACTGCACTCTGCACGGGCTGGTCCTCTCAGGTCCTTTGTCATATATTCAGCAGATCATCTGCTTACGACTTCAGCGAGAGGTTTGCACAGTTCATTACCCTGTGCATTTATTTAGCGGCTCAAAGTAAGTAGAAAATTGCATCTTTTGTTTTTCACCAAGATATGTATATGTGTGAAATAATCATTAATCGATACCAGGCACTTTTCTTATTGGAAATTGGTGTTTTGGTGTACTTTGACCATTAAATTGTTCAATCTACTAACTGAATAGAAAGACGTTGGTTTAATCTAAGGATTCACAAAACAAATATGCAAAAACAAATGAAATTATTTTTATAAATCCGTTTTGATAATATATTAAGCCATGTTGTTTTTGATGGTATAAGTTTGATTTTTCTTTCTGTGGTCAGATGATGAGTTTTTATCAAAGTATATGGTAAAATGTGAAATCAAATGCCTCCGGCAAGATCTATAGGGAGTGATTGTATAAGACAAAATTGAATTTCATCAGATTTGCAAATCGGTTTATGAAAGTGGAGGTAATAAATCTATGTCATGAAAATGTAATGATTTCTTTAGCATACACTTTTCCATAAGCAGTTTATATTTGTTAGTCACTTTCACGAGAAGATTCATGTCTGTGACTTGAAAATCGACTTTAAAGTAAATTATTTGAAAGGGTCTTGTGTGAGAAGCCATCAATGCTTTGCTGATGGAGTTATTCAATATCCACTTATGTGGTGTTTTAAAAACTTATAACCTGCCTCAGAGGCAGTCAGCTGGAAGCTACTGAATGTGATTACAGTGGTTTATCAACTCATCATGAAATTCACTGATCCAATTTAGATAAATATGTAATATGTAATTTCTGTGCGCATATTATATATTATCAGTTAAGGATAAGAAAAATTTAAAAGAAAAATCAGGCGTAGTCATATTTCATAAATTATTCATTTATTGTTTTATGTTAATGCTTTTTTATTTATTTAACATATATCTAGTATTTGGGTTATTCATTTGAATATTAACAGGGAGACCAAGAATGATATGAGTACCATTCAGTGTTCTGCAAGAACATGGGATATTTTTGGAAAAAGTCAACTGTTCCCAAAATGTTGTTTACTTCTCTTCATGGTTTGTCCCCAAAAGAAATACACAGAACGGACAAATGTGCATGGCTCCCTAAAATTTGATTGGCTCTTCCTCTCAAGGAATGAAAAATTATGTCTTGAAGGGATGGCTGAAAAACTATTTGCAATAAAATGAAAATGTTATTTTGTAAGGCCACAGTGGGGTAGCCCAGTGGTTTAGTGTTTGCTCATCATGCCGGACACCCAGGTTCGATTCCCCAAATGGGCATAATGTGTGAAGCCCATTTCTGGTGTGGCCCTGCTGGAATATTGCTAAAGCCGTACTCACTCACTCATTCACTCACCATACTTTCCAAGGGATAATTGTAATTATGTTGATATTAGTGATTGAATAATACTGGAATGTTGTTGATGTTTCAGCAACAGACTGTCAGTTTAAACTATGTCAAGTTTACTAAGTACAACCATATTATTTGCAGCAACAAGTTGAGAGAGCCATGTCCCTTGCCAAGCGAGTTGTCCAGGTGATCAACCTCGGACGCATGGGCTTCATGGCCGCTTCTGATGTCCAGCAGAGATATGCTCGACAACATTTTGATGAACTTGCTGGAAAATCTGTTGGGAGTGACACTATTCTTCTGGTTGAGCACAATCCAGTTTACACAACAGGAATCAGAACGTCTGGTTACGATGAAGCAGATGAAAGGAGATTGAAAACTCTGGGAGGCGAGTTTTTCCGAACCAACCGTGGAGGGTTGATCACTTTCCATGGACCTGGTCAGCTTGTTGCATATCCCATCCTGAATCTGAAGCATTTTGAACCCAGTATGAAGTGGTACATTGCTAACTTGGAAAAAACAATGATTGGTATGTGCAAACATTTTGGTGTGTCAGCGAAAACAACAGAAGACACTGGCGTCTGGGTGAACAATCGCAAGATTGGTGCTATTGGTAAGTGATTCAATCTGAGGTTACACACATTTGCATCAAACTGTACACCACACCATACCACATCATGAAAATTCGGGTTGGAATTGGTCTTCAGCAACCCATGTTTATCGTAAGAGGCGACAAAAGGGATTGGGCGGTCATGCTCGCTGACCTGGTTGACACATGTTACCCGTGAAAGTCCGGGTTAGAATGAGCCTTCTGTAACCCATGCTTGTCGTAAGAGGCGACTCATGGGATCGGGTGGTCAGGCTCGCTGACTTGGTTGACACATGTCATCGGTTCTCAATTGCGCAGATCGATGCTCATGCTGTTGATCACTGGATTGTCTGGCCCAGACTCGATTAATTACAGACCGCCGCCATATAGCTAAATAAAACTAATTAAATACAGATTCCTAACTGAAGGACTGAGGTCGTGGAAGTTACTAAGTTGAAAGACTGAGCTCCAGTAAATTGTACTCAGGTTTTCATTATATTTGTGTATCCTAATATTTCATTGACCAACCAAATATATTTAATGCCACCCGAACCCATGAAGGTCCGGGTTAGAATATTGATCTTCAGTAACACATGCCTGTCTTAAGAGGCTGATAACGGGATTGGGTGGTCAGGCTCGCTGATGTGGTTGACACATGTCATTGGTTCACAGTTGCGCAGATCGATGCTCATGCTGTTGATCACTGGATTCGATTATTTACAGACCGCCGCCATATAGCTTGAATATTGCTGAGTGCTGCGTAAAACTAAACTCACTCACTAACGCCTCTCGACTGGGTATTTTTCCCATACAAGCTTTAGAGACCGCGCTTCATGAACAGGGTAAAGATGTTTCGTTGATGAGTAGGGCTTCATTTCTCTGACAACATTCAGTTATTTCACCAGTCTCGGTATAAATAGAAAGACTGCACCAATGCTATGGTAATGTGTTGCAATGAAAGCTATTGTGAACCAAGATTGAATTTGCAATGCATGTCAATGTAACTATCAATCTATTACCACATGTTACCCACAAATTATAATAAAAAACAACCCAAACCAAAACATTATGCAATGTAGTTACATCTGTAGCCACTCTGTTTGAGAAACAGCTGCAACTCTAATATATAAACCAATGGATCTAAACAAATACAGCAGACAAGGTGCTAGTGATGCTTGAAATCTGAATGTTTGTGCTATGTGTTTTCACTGTCACTTAGAATTACAGTCCGTTTGACTTCATTTTAGACTGATGAATTGCTCACTAATACAAAACCGAATAATTGCAACAAAACCAAATTTTGCACAGTCACATGAAATCGACAGACCAACTGTGATGATTTGTCTCATAATTTTGGACACACGAATAAAAAAGTTGTTTAATAAAAGATCATTATTTTGTTGTCACTTTTCGCTGTTTCTGGCATGGGGGGACCACGTACTCGAAGAACAACCAGGTTTGCGAGTTGCACGTGGGAAATTGAAATTTCACTGCACACAATTGTTGATTACCTGGCTGTTTTACCAGCAAGTGGTCTCCCCTCGTAAGAAATAGCGAAAAGTGACAACAAAATAATGATCGTTTGTTATCCCCCTGGCATGTAATGTGGGGGGATATAGTCGTCGCCTCGTCCGTCCGTCCGTAATCATTTTGTTTCTGGAGCATAACTCAAAAACCGTTCGATATTTTTCAACAAAACAAGGTAGATATATCAAATAGAACCTTAAGTGGTGCCTTTTGCTATTTGCAGGTTTTTGGCTTTTTTATTATTCCTGGTTTCCATGGAAACGTTTCGGACTTAGTCTCAAAAAGGAGGGATTGGTTTTGTTTCCGGAGCACAACGCAAATACCGTTCAATATCTTTCAACAGAACTTTGCAGATATATGAGAAAGATCTTGAAGTGCTATTTGCAGATTTTTGGCATTTTTATTTTTCATGATTTCCATGGAAATAGTTTGGACTTAGTCCAAAAAAATCAAGTTGGACTTTAAGTAACTGTCAGTTGATTTGTTCTTTCAAATTTATGGGGGCCGGGGGGATTTGTCATCTTCTGATGACTCTTGTTAAATAACCTTTTTATTCGGGTGTCCAAAATTATGAGACAAATCATCAGAGTTGGTCTGTTGATTTCATGTGACTGAAAAATTTGGTTTCGTTGCAATTATTATTAGATTTTGTGTTTGTGAGCAATTCATCGGTCTATAATGAAGTCACACGGACTGTAGTCTTCAGTAACTGGTCACTTCCGGCACAAGATGTCATGTGACCAGCATTTGTAAACTAGTAACCTCAAAGGACAGTCGACCACAAAAGTCACAGCATCTGAGATAGTACTGTCACGTGGTGAATACTGCGCAGAAGGTTCTAGCTGTACTTCAATCTAAAAATATATTTCATTGGTACACAGGCAGAAAAAATCCTCACTGGTTATTTACACATGCTATTTTAAGGGTAAGACTCTGGGTTTCACAAGAATGCAAGCATACTTGTACACAATAAAATGTAAAGTAGTTGAGTTTTGAACAATATTTGTGCATATTTTATGAAGATACACGACTAATTTGGAGCTGTAAAAAAGAGATATGTTCTAGCTATGATTCAGCTTGATTCAAGATGAATTGTACAGTATGAAAATCCACTTGTCAAGAATTGCTCAGGTACAGATATCAAACAGTGCTTTTTGAAAAACGTCACCAGATATTTTCAGAATTATTTCCTGATTATAATAATCATGTTGCCCAAGTAAGGAGATGCACTTAGTGAGGTAAAACCTGGGTGTTTTACAATATAGTTCTTCATTATCGATCAGATCATCTCAACAGGCCATTGTGTTTGAAGTAATTACAAGTATGATAGGTGGAATCTGATTGGAAATAGGAGGGACATAGAAGGACCATAATTCATAATAAGCACTGGCGGCACTACTATAGAGCTGCAAAATTCCAGCTTAGTTCAACAAGGGTTGGAATTGTACTTTTATTGACAGTTAACTTCCTTGCATTATGAAGATGACAACAGCTTGCTACTTGTCATGATACTGTTATTACAATGAGAAATGCATGAACTGTGGTATTCGTTGGGTATCAGTTTGCCAAGTTATTACCGAGTCTGTGCTGATATCTGTCTGTTCACCTGTCCTACGTGTTTTAATATGGCTACAATGGGATCAGCCTCGTGATATTCCATAACAATGAATATTGAGAAACAAAATATTGTTTCAGTGTGTTAAAGATGTATAGAAAGGTATAATCATCAAGTTGTTTATCTCCTTGTGTTTTGAAGTCTCAGTAACCTATTATTTTTTATTACCCTTAAGATAACTTTGTCAAATTCTGATAGGTCAATAGCCAAAGCATACAAAACCACGGTGTACAAACTGTACACCCCGTCAAATCTGTTATGTCACACATTACACGAGTTGTACGAATGACTTTAACCTAAGAATAATATGGCTGCCAAACAGCTGATCGCTTTGAAATTTTAGAGTCGACATATACAGTTATGAATATAAACAGAGAGATAAAATTGTTGCCATAATTTCTTGTTTGTCTCAATAAAAATAAAAAAAAATAAAATGTCTCTGTATTTCACTTGTTTGACAAACATCTCAAATTTGGTAATTTCATCATAAACTAAGGCATCGAGAGTTACCTCCCTTTGAGTTTGTCGTTTTATGTTATTTTCTATTGAATGTTGGTTTTTAAAGATAAGCTAAATAAAGAGATCTTAAGGGTAATAAATTCGTCACACTGTGTTTTGAAAGAGTGTATGGGACTGTGAGATCCTTGTAAAAACCCTGTTTCCTGAGGCACAGCCGAAAGAAGTATGGAATTTACAAGGGTGTTAAAAGGGTCCTGAGGCGCAGCCGTAGGAAAAACGGAATTTACAAGGGTCTTACAGTCCCGTACACCCTTTCAAAACAATGTAACTAATTGTGTCCTTGTCCAAACTCAACCATTTTTAGAGGTTTTAGGGCTAAAACATGAACAGTGAGCTTACTAAACCAAACAGAATTTGAGTTGTCTTATGTTGATTTGGAGTTTCTGTTGATTTGGCTTTAGTTGCAGACTGTTTGGGATGTACAGATTCAGCCTCACTTTGTTGGAAGTAGCTGTATTACATTCTGTGTATTTCCTGTTTACACCACCGTAATACTGCTGAAATAATGCTGACAGCAGTGCAAAACCATACTCACTATTGTTTACCTCGGCCATGGTATTGCTGAAGTAACGCTGGAAACAGTGTAAACCCATACTCACTCTGCCATGATATTGCTGAAGTAATGCTGAAAACAGTATAAACCCATACTCACTCTGCTATGATATTGCTGAAGTAATGCTGAAAACAGTGTAAACCCATGCTCACTCTGCCATGATATTGCTGAAGTAATGCTGAAACAGTGTAAACCCATACTCACTCTGCCATGATATTGCTGAAGTAATGCTGAAAACACTGTAAACCCATACTCACTCTGCCATGATATTGCTGATGTAATGCTGAAAACAGTTTAAACCCATACTCACTAAGCTTTAACTCTGCTGTGATATTGATTAATTTCAGATGTAATCAAGATTATCTACAGACTGTTGTCATATAGATAGCATATTGCTGCTGACTGCTGCATTAAACAATATGCAAACCTTGCATAAAATATTCATATACATAAGCAGTGAAATATACATGTAAGTCACATTAAGCCGTGTGGCTCAGTTGTTGGTTTCAATGCAGAGTATCATTTGAAATGAGCATATAGTTTCCTGATCAGAATTAGTTCAGTGGCTAAACACTGAATAACCTGACTTGCTCACAGACTATAATGGTAATCATTTTTGGTAAAGGAACACATGTTGCCAACATAATGATTCATGTATATTTTCCATGGGAAGATCCGGTTTCAAATTGGTGTTACAGCTCTAGGATCCAGGTGTAGCTTTGTGGAAATGCTAGCCTGGAGATATCGATGAAGCTACCCTGGCACATTGAGTTAACCATGGAGGTCTGTCAGTCAGGCTCCGTGACATGG